AGACCTTGTCCTTCATCTCTTCAGATTATCCAGCTCTCCTAAGGGCATCCTTCTGGCTTTTTATCTCAAAAAGACCTGATGTGAGCAATGAGGTTCCCAGTTTCTTGCAGAGTTTGCTCTTTGTCCAGAAATAAATCCAGTTCACCAAGTTGAGCTGTCAGAACTTCTCCAAGGGCATAGACATTCTTCATGTTTTCACTGCCAAATTATACATGACACTTAATTTAAAGCTTAAGTGTAAAGCCTCACTAGTAAGGAGATTGCTGGAAGATATTGATTTTACTGCATTTCTGTATTTATGTATAAAAATGTACTATAAAGTATTGGTTAATGGCATTATTGCTGGGCAGGCTCTGGATTTATGCTCTGGTTTGGTTCCCTCTAATGTTTTCAAGATCCATTTGGCCAGTGTGGCTATGAACAGCAGCAGGAGCAAATGGGTTTTCATAGAGTTGTGAGGGTTTGTGCTCCTTGAGTCAAAAAAAACCCCACCCCACATTGTGGAACTGAATCACCTTGAATTGCTGAAAGGAGCAGAAACTTCTGTTGTGATATGTCCAGTGCTTGGGAGGCATTTTAGGTCTTGAAGTTTGTCTCAGAAGTTTGCGGACTGTTAAGGAGGGCCATGATTTTGAGCTGGGGCCATTTACCTGATGGCAAAGAGTTTAAAAAGAATTACTCTAAGGAATAGCCCCAAATAACCGAAATAAGACAACCAAAAGTAAACGAACTGGGATAGCTTTGAGTCTGGAGGGGCTGGAGTTTGCATGCAGGTCCTACCAGTGATATTCTGCTCCGTATTAACATCTGCTGTAAGGGAAGGCGGCTTCTTGGTAAATGCGTTTGTGTCTCTCTTGTAGCTCACTTGGCTGATTTTGTGTCCTCCTTGCTATTTTAATTTCCTTGGGTATGGGTAACTGCTGACTCTGTTCTGCTGGAGCGCAGCATTTCAGCTTTGCTGAGGGAACATCTTTTGCTGGGTTTTGACAGAGTGCTTCGCTCAAGACCATTGAGAAACAAGACTGTGGCAAAATCAGTCATTCAAGATGATGAAGGAGCAGGAGAAGTAGCCCTGAGAGAGTGAGACCTCATCTGTTTGAAAAAGTAACAGAGAGAGGTTTTGTTTATGGCACCTCTGTGCTGTTCTGGGGTGAATGAGGCCCACCAAGTGTTCCTTGGTGCGACTGGGAGCTGGAGGCACATTCACAAGGAGTAAATTGTTAACATTTGAAAGTGAACAGCTCAGAGGATGTCTTCCCTTACCCTTGACGCCTTCAGATCCGGCAGAGTTGCTTGTACCCGTGACAGCTCAGGTCTGAGTCACATCCCTGTGACCTGGATGATGCAGAAGTTAATGTTGGTGACTTGAAAGTCCCTTTTGGCTTAATTTACTGCTGTCAACCCCACCAGCCATCTGCCAGTAGCTCTCCAGAAAGCATTTAGAGTTCAACCGGTGCCATGAAGTTTTAACTCATGGCTTTGTAATTTGGCCTGAGTTGTCATTTCACAGCTGTGTTACGGTGCTGTGTGATGAAAGACTTCCATAGGAGGGGTGGCTCCATCAAGTCTCCTGGTCCACCATATAAGGAGGTCACACAAAATTATCAAGGTGACCTCTGGCTTGTAAATCCCTGAATTTGGCAACGTAACATGCCTCTTGCCTGTAGTTTTGATCTGGATTTTAAGTGTGTGGTGAAGTCATGAAAAATTGCTAAATCTCATTTCATGCCATGTGAAGGTGAGCCTTGGACTTCTTTTGTATTTTGCTGCTTTAATAACCCTTCTTTTTTCACCTGGCCTAACAAGCTTCTGAGTACATTTGTACCTATAATGTCCATTTCATGCCTGAGAAATTTGGTGGGTTTAGAGGCCCATTGAAATGTAAAAGCTTTACAAGAGATATAAATCATGTTTCAAATCCCTGAATCAAATACTCTTCCCATTCTCCCTAACCTGTTTTAGAAGATGAGTTACTTGTATTAAAGCAGAAGTTTCCCCAAAATTTACTTTTATCTTTCTGAAGAGTTTTATTTTCTTTCTAATGACACGATGCCCTCGTTCCCACATCTCGGGATGCAGTGTATGCAGTCAAGATCAAAACCTGGCCTTGCCTGGGGAAGCACCGTGCTTGAGCTATCTCAAGGGGATAGAGAGATGGGAGGAAGGTTCTGAATCTGGGCCCCATCGCTTCCATCTCAGCTCGCTGCCTGCAGGTCCTCACGTGCTTCCTTGGTGTAGTTACCCAGGGGAAAGCACAGGGATTTTAAAAGCTGCTGAATAGTTGTCTAGTGACAGTTAGCTGCATCCTAAAAGAGCTGTAAATCAGGATAGTTTCTTTGAAAACAAGCCATCAAAGACAACAGCTTTAAGTTGCTTCTAACTTTTGCTGGAGCTAATACAATTAATTGAATGTGCTTATCAAGGCTTGGAGATAGATACCCGTCTCCTTTGTAGCATCCTCCTCTTTTGGAAGAGTCTGATGCCAGTGCACTGATCTCTATGTCCTCTGGAGTCCCCAGTTTCAGATGTTTCAAGCAGGATTCTCTTCACTTTCTCAATTGACAGTTGTGTTATGTTATTGTTCAGCATGTTACAGGAAAACAAGTAAATCAATAAAGCTTGCTGGGTTTTTTTCTTGGGATCTATAAATTTACAGGCTGCTTAAATCTTAAATACACCCAGATGAAAGGCAGGAGGATACCTATTTTCTGTGAAATGCAAAAGCTGAACACTGGCACTTCCAGACCTGCAAAGCTTCAGACTTGATGGCGTAACCAGAAATGTGACCATTGCAGAACTTGTGCTGAGTTTTGCTGACTGTCCAGATCTTTACAACACAAGAAGGTGGGTCTGACTCAAAGCTCAGGTGAAAAACTGCCCTGACTTTGTTGGGTTGTTGGATGTGTGAGCTGGTACCCACTTCCCAGCACATTGGTTTCTGCTGCTCAGCCTGCTGGTGCTAGTGCTTCTTTTGTCCTTTAGCCATCCACACATCTTCAATTGGCAAAGCAGGACCTTCCCTGGAAAGCATATCAATTTACTATGGACTCAGTCCAGCTTCTGCTAATCCTAATGACTTAGACACCCACAGGCTTCAATTAGATCAGGCTTTCTGAGGAGATACCATCGTAACAGCAGAGACACAGTGTGGCACATGCTCTTTAGCAGAAGGCTAAATTATGTATGGTGCTGGTTTTAATAAGTTTGCAAACATCCTAGAATGTGGGATCTGCAATGGGAGGAGAAAAATGTGGTCACAAGACTTCAGCAGGGGAAACATAAGAAGGACATGGACCTGTTAGAGAAAGTCTAGAGGAGGCCATGAAGATGCTCAGAGGGCTGGAGCACCTCTGCTATAGAGACAAGCTGAGAGAGCTGGGCTTATTCAGCCTGGAGAAGAGAAGGCTTTGGGGAGACCTTAGAGCAGCTTCCAGTGCAGACTGACAATGAAGAATAAGAGTTAAATTCTCCTGTCAACAATTTGGGGGCTCCTCTCCTTTCCAGAGGATGCCCACAGCGTGTTGGGTTCAGTGACACTTCTACAGAGGTGGTTTTCTCAATGCCCATGTTGACCTCCTTGTGTCCAGGTCTTCCTTGGCCTCCTGGGCCAGTGCCATAGGGCCATAATGTTGCCAAACCTCCTGGGTTTTTGTTTCATGTCCTATCAGCTGCCTCTCCTGAATCAGCATGTGGAGTTGCCACCTCTCCCGCTTCCTTCCTCATTGCCCATTCCCACTGTGATTCCTGCAACCTCTCTTATCCAGCAGTTCCCAGATAAAGATATCCCTGGGAGCATCTGCTGGCTCACACTAACTCTGAAAGTAAACACAAACACCATGGTGATTTTTTGTCATGCTTCTCCACCTTGAAAGGAAGAAATTCCTGGGCCAGCACTGTCTGTCTGCCTCTGCCTTCTCCTGTGGGCACTAATTGCCTTCCAGCACTCCTGGGGTGGGAGTGCTGCTGGCTCTGCTCTGGCCCTGCTCCACCATGGCTTAGAGCTGCATAATTTGTTCACCTCCCTGCAGTAAATTGTTCATGCTTTTGATGGATCTTCAGTGAAGTATTTTAATGTGTTCCTGTCGAATGTTCCGTTCCCCCCCCAGCAGCTATTGACAGATGAAAGCACTAACGCTGGCTTTACATGGGAATTTAATTGTAGCAGCTGTCATGCAGATCCCCAATACAAATATTTTCCACTGTTAATGGTTTCACTGTGGGCTTTTTTTGTGTGATCAAATGTAATCTTATTTAATGGAGTTTTATTGCTGTGACGCCTTATTCTTTTCACCAGGCTGGGCTTTATTTTTAAATCAAGAGAGATTGTTCAGAGGTGAGCCAGAAATATGACTGAAGGGATTGAATGGGATGGGAAGCCTGGGATGAATTGAGCGACTATAGATCAGCCAGGGCAGGTGAAGTGTAAGAGCAAGAGCGAGAAAGGGGCCAGTGTGGAAGCAGCAGTCAAGAAGAGTGAGGAATTCAGTATGAGTTGACACATGTATGCCTGGGATTAAGGGAAACTGCAGTGGGAGGAGTTGGAAGAGTTTTGAGAGAAGGAGGCCTTGCAAATGAGTTGTATCCAAGGCAGAAATGGTGGGTAGTTGCAGAAACAATTCAGTTGAGAGCAGCACTGGAGACATGCGGCAAGGGCCACTTCTTCAGTGGCCACAGGTGAGTCCGGCTGTGGCTGTGTGTTTCCCTCCTGTCATTACTGCAGTGCATGCAAGGGCAGGTGACCACAGGCACAGCTTTTATAGCTGGGTCCTGGCATTATGCAGTGGGTTTGGTTTTGGCAGCCCTGCAAGATGGGCAGGAGGCTGCAGATAGGAACTGGCTGGAAACTGGAACTGACACTAGAGTGAGCTGGTCCTTTTTGCTTAGAAACAGGTTATGAAGCAGTGCCAAAATGCTGCACACATACAGGTGGAGTGTGCAGCCCCTGCATCTCTTCTCTCAGTATATACAGCCACTGTAATGATCGTGTGTTCATTTCCTAGGTTGTCCGCACAGAGAAGAACAGCCTGAACAACAGGTTCCTGCCGTGGGATGAGATCGAGACGGAGGCCATCCTGTCCATTGATGATGATGCTCACCTTCGCCATGACGAGATCATGTTTGGGTTCCGGTGAGTAGCCTTTGCACAGGTAACCTTTGGACTGATGTTTCTCGTTGTTTTCCACATCTAGGGTCTGCTCAAATGCAGCATGCCCTCATGACTAAAGCCAGGGCCAGAATTAGGGCTAGCACATCTCTTCACATGGCTTTCCTACTCACTTTCTTGGGGGAGTATTATGCTCTAATGAACTGCTTAACAAATGCAGGCAGGTGGGCTGATTTCAGCCTGCCCAGACAACCCTTAATCTCACGCTTCTTAACCTCAACTCTTCAGCTTTTGCTGTGCTAATAATGTTCCCTAAATGGCTTTGGGGGTGCCTGGCTTCCTAGGGTGGAAGGAAACAGGAAAACAAATCCAAGAGGCTGTTGCACTCCATCCTTCACATGCCATTGGCAAGGCCAGGGCATCTGCAGCTGTTGAAAGACATGGTGCTCGTGTGCTCACAGTCGGCTGCCATCCTCTTTGCTCCATGTAACATTGGGATATAACAGCGATTTTGACTGTGTTTTGCAGAGCATTCAAAAGAAAGATGTTACATGGAAAAGGCTGGTGCTGATTGCTGTTATTCCCACCCACTTTCTGCTCCAGCATCTACATTTTCCTTTGACTTTGCCGTGGCAAAATACTTCCCTGATTACGGGGCTAAGGGAGAAAGCAGTTATGTGGGCTCTGCCGTGGGAGGTCTCTGCAGGCTGCTCCTGCAGCTCCTACAGCTCAACCTCACTGACTGCCAGAGAGGCACTGGGCAGTGAGGATGGCACAAGGAGAGCACTGGAGCTCATATGGCTGCAGCTTGTCAGCCCACCGAGCCAGGAGCAGCGGCTGTGACTGCAGCTCAGAGCTGGCTGGGGCGCTGGTGACAGAGCCCAGCTCACTGCTCTCACCAAAACGTGTTGGCTCATGTCTGGGGGAAAGATTAAAAGGCACAAAACAGGCTCTCTCTGAGAGATGAGAAATGAGGTGTTAAAGTGATTAAAGCAGGGGAGTAGGCGTCAGGACTTCTGGCTTCCCTTCCATGCCCTGTTTCAGGGTCTTTATCTGGACCTGGCTGTTTTCTCATCCTCTGGTCGCTGTTTTCCTTCGCTCACCCACAGCGCCTTGCTGAGGCTTTACAGATTAGCCCTGGAGAGCATCAAATGAAAATTATAAGCGTCATGTATTATTCTCACTCATACCCCTGCTTACAAACACCTGGGTCTTACAAAGCCTCCCTGTGTTAGCACGGTAAGCCAGGGAAGAGATGGTGTCCCAGCGACTGAGTGAACCTCTGCCTGTAACAACTGTGTTCTGTTGCAACTTTGCTTTGGGCTGTAGTTCGCAGGGCCAAAAGCCTCTTCTTGCTCTCTTCACTGCTCAGGAGCAAGGTAGAGGCAAGCACCCTGAGCAAACCTCTCTGAGGAGCACACCCAAAACGATTCTCCAAAGAAATCCTTATTTTTGTGGCTGAGCTGGGAAGAAGAAAGTGTCGCGTTCATAGGAAAGTGAAACGTGGGAGAAGTGAAAGGGAATGAGTAGTTTCAACTCCAGCTTTTCAAAATGATCACACTGGATTAACAGCAACCGCAGTGAACAAGTGCTTGTGGGGAGGACGGTGCCAGGGAAGTCCTGGCAGTGTTAGTTACTCCGTTTTTGTTACCAGGTTATATCGGAGTTTCATCATTTGAGTAGAGGATATAATAATGAACGTGTCTTGGCTCCTGGCTGTGTGTAATGACCTCTCAGGGCTGTTGGAACCGTGGTCTCTTTGGCAGGCCATGGCTGCCCTGCAGCCATCACTTCTGTAGCTTGCCATAGGAACGGGAGATGTGGGAGGAACTTGAGAGGGAGGTGAGTGGGGCTGTGGGAGGAACATCGCTCTGTCCCATATGGTATCTTTGCCTCCAAACTGGAGAGGCATGGATTTGACAGACTGACCACTCAATGCATAAGAAATTGGCTGTATGTCGCACTGAGAGAGTTGTTGTCAATGGCTCAATGTCCAAGTGACAAGCGGTGCTCCTCAGGGGTCGGTGTTGCCACCGATGCTGTTCATCGTCTTTGTAGGCAACATGGACAGTGGGATCGAGCACACCCTCAGTGCGTTTGCTGGCAACACCAAGCTGTGTGGTGCAGTGGACATGCTGGAGGGAAGGGATGTCATTCAGAGGGGCCTGGACAGGCTGGAGAGGTGGGACAGTGCAAACCTCATTTTGGGCCTTGGGGGTTTTTTGTTAGTTTTCTTTTAAAGCTACAGAACAGTACTTATGGGTTAGAAAATCCCTAATTTATGAGTTAAAAGCACTTTCCCTGTGAATGGGTAATTTGAATGTCCCTCTTGTAGAGGACCAAGGTGAGAAGCTCAGCTTTGAACTAAGCAACACTGGTCTTTGTTTGGGAAAGCTGACTGAGGGATGCTTCAGTTCACATCTTGCAGTTTTTAACCTTTAACAGGAGAAGGTCAATAAATCCTGCCTGACTATTAAAGCTGAGATTTCCCTGTCAGCCCTTTCCTGCCCTAGAATAGGAGGAGGAGTTATCTTAGGGTGAGCCCTTCTTCACGTGTCACTCAGGCAGCTGGGTTGGCCAGTCGGCCCCTCCTGCCCACAGTGGAGCTTTGGTCTGTGGAGGTGGGTGAGCTTGCATTGAGCAGCCTGTGTAAAAAGACATCTTTTGCATGTTGGAATTTTCTGTGTTTTTGTTTTTAATAATTAAATGGTCTTAAAGAAGTCCATTTAAACATCAGGTTTAAATGATGTTTAGCCTTTTTGCTCAAGCTACAATGTCTATAGGCCATTCTTTGGACAAGCCGTTGCCAAACCTTTGATGTATAGGCATCTCCATCACTTGCAACCTCCTTTGAGAGCTAGTCTGTCGGTGTCGAAGGCAGTGGTTCTCCTTCAGAGCCATGCTCATCTCCATACAGGCTCCCCGTGTTTGTGTCTCACTGAAGGGCTTTGTGTTTGCAGTGTCTGGAGAGAGGCAAGGGACCGCATCGTTGGCTTCCCGGGGCGCTACCACGCGTGGGACATCCCCCATCAGTCCTGGCTCTACAACTCCAACTACTCCTGTGAGCTGTCTATGGTGCTTACTGGTGCTGCCTTCTTCCATAAGGTGAGATACACAAACCGCTGAGCTTCCCCTTCCTTCTCAGAGTAACCAGAGCCTGTGTGTTTGTGGGAATGCTGGGGTTTTTTAAAGAACACATTTTCAGGTCACAGCTCCTTTTTCCTCGCTTCCTCCAAACTGAAACACAGCCAGCAACTGGTGTGTGGCCCAGCAAACGCTCTCCTTGAGGAGCAGCGTGTGTTCGAGCCACATGAGAAGCACCACAGCACTGAAGCAGGCAGATGGAGTGCAGGGCCCAGCATATTCCAGTGATGCTGTTGGTCATGGTGAGGGTGAGGCGAGCCATAGGGTTTGTGTGCCCTGTGTCCTTACTGTAGCATCTTACAGACTCCAAGTGTTGCAAGGGGTAATTCACAGGGAAGCTGTGGGTTCCTGTGGCTGTGTGCTGGCACAGGCTGGCTGGTAGATGTGGTTGGTGGCTGTTTTATGTTGGAAGGGAGCAGTGCAGGACATGGCTCTGTGACATGTGGCTCTGTTGGAGCGGTGACAACGGGCAAACAGACCTTGAGAAAAGGATGAAGTATTTTCCAAGGGGACTGTCCTGAGCTGTCATATCACACTGCGAAGGTTATCCACCAGCTCCTGCTGCTGTGCTGACTCTGCAGCAGCAAAGGCAGCAAGATCTGAGGGGGCTGAAACCACTGTTCCTCTATTTCTGAGGTTACAGGAGCCTCAGGACTCAGTGAAGGTGATAGCTTTGGGATAGACTTGCTGCAGCTATGGCTACAGCAGATCTCCTTGGTGCATGATGAGCTCCATTATAGGGACTCTCTCTGCCGGCACCCTTGAGCTCCAAGTCTGGTACATCCCAGCATGTGGTCTGGATACTCACCTGTGGTGCCGTGATTGCACCAGGTCTGGTGCAGATGGCACCAGCAATGGATGGGCACTTACTGCATGAAACCACCTTGAGCAACGTTGTGCCTTTGTGTCCTCTCCAGTACTATGCCTACCTGTACTCCTATGTGATGCCGCAGGCCATCCGCGACATGGTGGACGAATACATCAACTGTGAGGACATCGCCATGAACTTCCTGGTCTCTCACCTGACAAGAAAACCTCCCATAAAGGTAAAGCACCAGGCAGGAATTTGTGCTATTTAGTGACTGGATTGATGGCTTTCAAAGGCAAGCTGCGTGTTAGCTGCTCTGCTCAGGGGTGCAACCCGGGTCCCTTCCTCTCCTGTTGGCACAGCCTGGTGCAGAAGCTGTACCATGTGGCACGTGCTGCCCTTACCAGAATCTGGCTGTGTCGTGTCTCTGAAGCACTGTGCTGCAAGAGTGATGTGCTCAAAGCTGTCAGCGTGTCCCCTCTCCTCGCCTTGGGGAGATGTAGTGTGTGTGTGTGTGTGTGTGTGTGTTCAAAAAGGTGTGAAAACCCAGTCCAACCCTTAGAAGCAGCCAAATCCCCACCATGGCGAGCAGACAAATTGGGGTTTGACTTACGCTGCAGCTCAGACCGGACGCTTTCCTGGCTCAGCAAAGGCCCTTCTGTGCAGCTGATCCAAAAAAGACAAATTGCCTTCTTTCCGTAGCACACAGCACAAGGAGGAATGATTTCCTTGCTGATTTTGTGCAGCTTGCCAGGGACGTTTAAGCTCACCCACATGTGGAGCGCTGTTGGTCCAAACGCTGCAGCCCAGCTGAAATTGCCTTGCCCTGTGTTAACAAATGTCACAGTTCTGAGCGTGAATTTCAAATGCAGAACGTTCTGCTCTTTGCCAAAATGGGTTTTGACAAACTGCTCATTACAGCCCTGCATATGTCTCACCATGGCAAGCCACCTGCCTTGGAGATGGGCCTTGGCTGTAAACATGATGGGTAGGGTTTTTTGTGTGGTGTTTTTCACATCCAGGGCTATAGTGAAGTGGAGGTTGTAGAGTTCAGTGCAGCTGAGAGGAGAATCAGACCGAACCCAAAGGCCATTGTAATGGGATGTCTGATTCAAGACAGACAAGGAGGCTTTAATCAGCAAGTGGTCCCTCAGCACCTCCTGAAAACGATCCCCCTCCATAGATCTTACTTAGGTGCCTAAAAGTTGCTGAATCTTATGCTGCCAGGTGGAGGGAGGGGATTCTCCCCCTCTGCTCTGCTCTGCTCTGGTGAGACCCACCCCTGCAGTCCTGCATCCAGATCCAGGGCTCCAGCACAAGAGGGATGTGGAGCTGTTGGAGTGAGTCCAGAGGAGGCCACAAAGATGCTCTGAGAAATGGAGCACCTCTGCTATGGAGACAGGCTGAGAGAGCTGGGCTTGTTCAGCCTGGAGAAGAGAAGGCTCCAGGAGACCTTAGAGCAGCTTCCAGTGCCTGAAGGGGCTGACAGGAAATCTGGAGAGGGACTTTAGACAAGGGCCTGTAGGGACAGGACAAGGGGGAATGGCTTTAACCTGACAGAGGGGAGATTGAGGTGAGCTCTTAGGCAGAAGTTCTTCCCTGTGAGGGTGGTGAGGCCCTGGCACAGGTTGCCCAGAGAAGCTGTGGCTGCCCCATCCCTGGCAGTGTTCAAGGCCAGGTTGGACGGAGCTTGGAGCACCCTGCTCTAGTGGAAGGTGTCCCTGCCCATGGCAGGGGGTTGGAACTGGATTAAGGTCCCACCCAAACCATTCTGTGATTCTGCCTGAAGGGAAGGAGTTTCTTTCTGAGTCTTTTTTTCCTGGAGCAGCTTTTCAAATTTTAAACCAGAAAAAGGTAGCTAAGCATTAGTAGGTAATTGCACCCCACTTTATGTCTCTGCTCTGGCAGACCATGTCCACCTTCACCTGGACACCCTCCAAAACAACCCCAGCAGCCAGAAGAGCGCAGCCAAATCCATGCCCTGTCACAGTGACAGTGTGTGTCCTGTCACACAGGACATCTAGCCATGTCCCACTGTGCAATGCATTGGGCACAGGCAAGGTGTCCCCCGAGCCAGGCTGCTGCAGGCAGCGTGTCAGTGACCATCTTTGTCCCTCTTCTTGCAGGTGACCTCCCGCTGGACTTTCCGCTGCCCCGGGTGCCCTCAGGCGCTTTCACACGACGACTCTCACTTCCACGAGCGACACAAGTGCATCAACTTCTTCGTCAAGGTGTACGGGTACATGCCCTTGCTGTACACCCAGTTCCGCGTGGACTCGGTCCTCTTCAAGACCCGCCTGCCCCACGACAAGACAAAATGCTTCAAGTTCATCTAGCAGCGGGAGGCAGCCGGGCGCTCCCGGCTCTCCGAGCTCCGGCCGAGGCGGGTGAGGGCACAGGGGGGCTTCTCTGATGGGGCTGCGAGGGCAAAACGCCTTTTGCTATCGGCTCCGGCCTCCCTCCCGCGCAGCAAAAGGGACGTCCTGGATGTGGATGGGCACGTTTCCCCCCTCCTTTCCCGTGCTGCCCATGGCGACTCAACCGAGCAGCAGGGAACAGGATCTCACGGCTTCTGTAAAGACACTCCCTAGGATCGTACACTGAGGAATGGCCCGTTGGCTGGTGCCTCTGCCCCTCCGCTAGCCAAGGGCAACCATTCTTTTTAATTATAATTATTGTTATTTAAAATGAAAGTGGTTTAGATTTCCCGAGTGAGGGTTTTCTGTTTTTTTAAATCCTTTTCTTTGTCCCTTCCCCTACCCACACTCTTTTCCCCTCTGGACCTGTCTGCTCAAGGGGGGACCATAGCAAGGACAGGTTGGAGGTGTTTTACTGCAGAGAGGTTATTCCAACATCAAGGCAGCTCTGGTCACCACCGTTGTCCCCATCCTTTCTCCCGTGGGGAGCCCTTCTCCCTTCTTGCACACCGCATCCTGGCTCCTTTTGCCCTGTGGCTACTACTGAGGACTTTTGCAGTGTCATCTGCAGGTGACGAGCTCTGTGCTGTGCTCTGCTCCCCACTCTCAGCCCTGCCCTTGGAGAGGGGCGAGCAGGGAAGAGGTTTGGCCCTGGAGGGTCCGTCCCTGGCTCCCAGCACCACACTGGGCCTCAGGCTGCAGCCACAGGGGTGTTTGGTTGCTGCAGCCTCTGCTCTCGGTATTCTTTCCACTCCATGCAGCGCACAGGCAGGCTCTGCTAAACCTCTGGAGAGAGGGAGCGTGCCTGGGGCTTAGGGGTGATCCATCTGCAGCACAGTGGGGGCTGGCAGTGCCCCAGGCTCATTCATTTAAGTGGGCTGTCTTGGCCAGTGGTGTTCTGCAGGCACTGCAGCACTGAAGGCAGGGCTGGAGAGTCTTGGGATTTGGCCTGGGCTTTCCACAAGAGCTTTGGGACTTTTCCTCCTGCCCTTCAGGGCGTCAATCACTGGCCCTGGGGAGCTGCTCCAGTAGCACCCCAAGATCCGCTACACAAGCCTTTGCTGGTAAAAACCTCTTTCCCAAAAGCATCCAAGTGTGGACACGGGTGCTGAGCGCTGGCTCTTGCAGATGCCTGGTCCCTGCTAGTGGAGTGGACACAGTGCAGCTCTTGGTGCCACTGTGATGGTGTCGGGGTCTCGGGGCCTTCTCTTGGGATTGATTTGCATTTTGCAGGGTGGTGGAAGGAGAAGACACCAACCCCATTCTGTGTGCAGCCAAGCAGAGCTGAAGTGAAGCGCCTGCCTGGCCTGGGTGTGCCAGAGCCTGGGCTGCACCATGGGCTGGGGTCTCTGCCTCATCTCTTGTATCACATCCCGGAGCAAAACTTAGCCATGTTGGGTTTGCCCATGGGCCTCAGCGTAACTGCCTTAAACCCATCCTGTCCTCCCCCAGGGTTAACCTCACCCAGAGATTTCCTTCATGGGAGCTGGGAGATGCCACTGGGATCGTGCTCAAGGGCTCTTTAAAGCTTGTCCCTTCTTGTGCGATGCTCTCCCTCGGTGCATCCCAGATGCTTAAGAGCAGCCTGGAGAAGCTCTGGCTGGTTTGATGGGAAGGTGAAACGTGATTCACATCAGTGTCTCTGGTTTTCCAAGCCCCATGCAGCTCAGCATCCTGCGCCCTGCAGCAGCAGGCTGTTACCCTGGTTGTGTCTCTGGTGTGTCCTGGAACAGGAGCAGGGAGGGTCCATCTGCCCCTCCTGCACCCTGCCCCATGGTTTGGGGTGTGAAGTGGCCTCTCCAGCCATGTTTCACCCACTTTTTCATGTCAGCCCCACAGGAGCACCAGCACTTGCTCCTTGGTAAGGGGAAGAGAAGGGGCAACAGTCCCCAGCAGAGCCACCGGTTACTGCCTTCACCAGCACTACAGACTGCAGCGAAATACAGATCATGGCATCTTTTCCTTTCTGGGTGGGATTTTTCCTTTCCGCTCTTCTTGTTTTAACATCAGGTGCTCAAAACAGAGCACGGGAAGGCTCAGTCTCCTTAAAAACATGATTAGAGGCTCCTGCAAGGCCCCACAACACCTGGAAGGATGTTTGCTGCTTGGAGTGGGAACATGGCACTCGGCACCAGCCCCAGCATTGCTGAGGGGCCTGACCCTGCTCTGCTGCTGGCTTTAATTCTCCCCTCATTAATGCGTGGTTTGGTAGCAGCGATGCAGTCACTCACACACAGCACAGGTCCCTGTGTCAGCCAAGAGTGGAGGCAGCTCTGCCTTTCCCAGCCTCCTGCCCGCTCAGCTGGAGCCACACAGGAGCGATGCCAGCATGGATTGCACTTTATAGGGATAGAGGCACTTCTCAGCAGCTGATGGCTAAAAACCTTGGGGGAAATCTGATTACTCTGGTGTGAGACCGTAGTACAGGGAGCTTGGAAAAGGTGAGAGTCATGAGAAGTATTTGCATTGCCATCTGCATCTGCTTGGGGGTCACTGAGCCACATTGCTTTGGTTGCAGCTGGAACCAGCAGCAGGTCTGAGGTTGGGGGTTTCTTCTTCCCGTTGGTGTGTTTCAGTTCACGATGTAGAGCTCAGCAGTGGAAATCCAGATTGTTCTTCCCGTTCTCACCTCCTGCCCAAAGTGTTTGGTGTTTGGAGGATCCCTGGTGCTGCAGTAGCCAGGGTCAGGCTTGGAGCACTGCAGTTGGCTGGGATGAGGCTGCGTGTCGGGATCACGGTGTGTGTCATGGGATGGTTGCTTCCTGGGAATGGAGGAATCCTGGGATGCAGGCCCCCTGAAGGGAAAGGATTTGGGGGTGAAGGGCTGCTGTGTGTCACTGGTGGCAGCTGCATGGGGCAGGGCATGCTGGGCAGTATCAGCATTGCAGGAGATGGAGTCCCATAAAGGCAGCAAGAGCATCTCCTTCCCCATGTGCAGGGCTGGTGCTGCCCCTCTTCCTGCTGCTGCGGCTCTTTCCCAAATCACCTCTAAAATCAGTCCAAAGGAAGAGACTCGTGATTCACAGCGCAGCGCTCTGCTCCTGAGACACCCCGGGACAGGAGCTGTCCTTGGGCTTTCTTCCACCATCAGGGAGGAGAAGGGCATTTCTGAGACTGCTCCCAGTGTGCCACTGTCATGAACCTGCTCTGCAGCCCATCGCTCTCCTGGGATTCCCAGGGGGTCCCAGGGTAACTCTGAAGCTCAGGTCAGGTTGCACGGCTCATCCCAGCTCCGGAACACGCGGTCTCCACCAGCCCAGCCACAAGGAGCCAGGAAGGCCCCTTGGCGGCTGCACCCATCCCAAGGGAAAGGCCTCTTCCCCTTTCCCATTTCTGCTGCTTCTCCCAGGGCCGGGAGTTGTGGGTGCCGGCTGCGGAGCGAGGTTTTGTGTCCCATTCACTGTAAATAGCATCGTCTGCGGTGACACGGCCCCCCGGGGCCCCGCTGGTGTCACACAGCCCCTGTCCCCCCTGCGCCGTGGTCGTGAACCTGCTCCGTGAGCACCGGGTTTGAAATGAAACCAACAAAAACCGAGAGGAAAGAAACGGCATCAACACGAGCACAATGTCGAGGTTTTGTAAAAGGATCCAATAAATGGAGAGTTTAACTTGAGAGTGTCTGCGTGTCTGCTGCACAGGGGCTGGGGGAGAGCGGAGGGGGCCAGGATGGGGCTTGCAGCAGCGGCAGAGCTCCGGGGGCACCCCGAAAGTACAATCAATTATAGAACCAATCCCGGGCCGGGTTGGAGGGGACCTCAAGGAGCATCTGGTCCAACCTTTCTTGGCAAAGCATGACCTGGACTGGATGGCCCAGCATCCTGTTCAGCTGGATCTTAAGTGTCCAGCACTGGGGAGCCACCACTTCCCTGGGGAGATTATTCCCATGGCTGATTGTTCTCATGGTGAAAAACTCTCTTCTTGTGCCCAGTCGGAGTCTCCCCCAGCCCATCACCGCACGTCTTTTCCATGGGACTCCTTGTAAAAAGGGAGTCTCTGTCTTCTTTGTAGTCGCCCTTTAAACACTGGAACATGGGGATAAGGTCTGCCCCGAGCCTTATCTTCTCCAGGCTGAACAAGCTCAGCTCTCTCAGCCTTTCCTCACAGGGCTGTCCAGTGCTTGGATCATCTTTGTGCCCCTTCTCTGGACCCTCTCCAGCCCATCCACATCTTTTGTGTACATCAAGGATCAAAACTGCACACAGTATTCCCATTGTGGTCTGGCAAGCTCTGAGTAGAGCAGGACAGCAATATCTTTATCTCTGATGGTGATGCCCTTTCACTAGCAACCTGTTGGCTTTCTTTGCTGAAGCTGCACACTGTTCGCTCACATTGAGCTTGTGTTCCATAGGAACCCCAGGTCCCTTTCCACAGAGCTGCTCCCAGCCAGGCAGATCCCAGCCTGTGTTACCCAAGGACACTTGTCCATGCTGAACTCCATAAGGTTCGTGATAGCCCCCTCTTCCAGCCTATCCAGTTCATCCTGCAGGGGGGCTCTCCTTCCCAAGTGTCCACTTCCCCACTCATTTCCACGTTTCCTTTTCTTCATTTCCTTGTATGAGGGTTTGTACGTTGGGATGGGGGAACATGGGAGAGGAGAAAGGGAAAAATGCCCTTAATAATTCATTCCCTTCTATCAGGATGGAGGGCAGAAGTGCTTTACACTTACTCCACTCCTCCACACTCAGTGTCCTCAATGTTCCCCTGCAGATGACGCATTCCTCAAGAAAAAGCAATTTCACTGACGTTGTTCCCTATGTTTCTGCCTACCAGTGCCATAAAAGCAACCAGCTCCCAAGAGGTGGAGAGCATCGCACCTTCCCACAGCCCTGCCTTGTGCCTGGCCACCCTGAGTCAGGCAGGAAGAGGGAAATTAATGGATTTGGTTTGGTCTTTTTTCCCTTGGCTGGAAATGCAGAAAGCGTCCTGCAGGGCTGGACAGCAGCAGCAACACAAAGCCAAGGTCACGTTGGCTCCATCACTCCCACCTTCAGTATCTGACTGCTTCTCCAGGGCAGCCTGCACCACTTGGCTGTTTAAAAACAACTAGGAAAACAGGCTTAAATGCAGGAACATGAGGCGTTTGGGGAGTGGGACTCCTGGGGAACAGGGAACTCCCCAGATCCCTACCTGACCACTTTGGGGCTGACCAAATGTTAAAGCCTGTTGTTAACGGCATTACGAGCCCCGGTTTGGGCTTAAAACCCCTGGGCAGGGCAGAGTTTTGCCCATGATGCAACCAAATGGTTGCAGGATATAAGGAAGAAAACCAGGCATCATCAGCACCTGCAGGCACCCTGTGGCCCACAGCCCCGTGCTGTAATTGAGAGGCTCAAAATAGTAAATATTAAGAGCAGCCAGAGGGAAATGTGCAGTTATTAACCAGGCAATTAATAAAAGACCTCGACTGTGCTGTTGTTGTGCCTGCAAGGGAAGGGTAATTGTCATTGTGTGCTTCAACCCAGTCATTTAATGTAGGAATGGAGAGAGGAAATAACCCTGGGTCCAGCACCACCCCTTCTTGTGCCCACCAGCCTGGGTCCAGCTCTGCCCTGGGGAGGGAGCAAGCCCTGGAGCAGAGCTGTGGCAGAAACCCAGCACAGCTTGGTTTCACTTTTCCCTGCAAGAGTGAAAAGGAGAAGGGAGGTAACACCCATTCCTTCCACCTTGGTTTTCATGGAACCACAGCTTTGCCCTGTCCCTCACCATTGCTATTACCATTGTTACCCATTAACATCAAGAAATCATCATAATGCAGTTTTAGCAGGAGGGGGGCAGTGTTTGTGCCTTTGGTTATTGCTGCAGTAGGAGCTAGCTGGTTGGTGGAGGTTTTCTCAGCAGGGAGCTCATGCTAACCCCACAGCATGGCCTAATTGTACTGAATTATGTTCTGCCTCAGGACATTCACTCACATAGCTTTAATTACCAGCAGCAGCCCAGGCTTGCTATGCTTGAGCTGGAAACATCATCCTTCTGTGTGCTCAGGGAGAAGGAGAGGCATGGGTCCTGGGGACACCGAGGGGCAGCCAGTGAGAGAAGACAGAGGAATACTTTAATCTTTGGCTGTAGCCAAGGCAGAGAGCCTTTAATTGTTCAACCTGCCAGTAAAAATGCAGCAAACTGACGCTGTGAGTTCTGAAAGAGGAGTTTGGGAAGATCACTGCATCTTCGGGCTGAATAAATCCCTCTTGATTTAGGAGCCTGCTGGGGTGCTGCTCCCTTGCATCAGCCCACAGGACAGATGTAGGATGAGGCCAGTGGTCTCTGGCTCTAACAAAGCTGTGGCCAGGGTACATTACCTGCTACTGGTTCCTGGTCAGGGCTGACCTGAGCTCCTGGGCAGTGTCTTGTAGCCCCAAGTGTCCTCATGGGAGAAGTACTGCGTCCCCAGGACTGAGAATGTCCCCTAGACCTCAGAGCTGCCTCCTCGGAACACGGGTCCCTATGGCATGCCCTGGAGAGCAGGACTGGGAGGCTTGGCTGTCACCCCAAGGTCACAGGGAGAGAGTTGGCTTGGTACTTGTGGGCCACAAGACTTTGTGATGGATCCTCAAAATGATGGGGCCCAGGTGGTGGGTTTCAAGTGATGAGTCCTTAATGGAGTCAGAGGTGATTGGTCCAGGTGATGGGTCCTCAAGGGATGGGTTCTAACAGATCATGGTCCTAGGTGATGGCTCCTCAGAGAACGGGGTCACAGTCCAGGGGTCCCATGGGATGGGCTCACAGTTCATGAGTCCAGGGTGATGGGTCACATGTGATGTGTAAATGGGGACCCGTTTGATCCAACTTACCTTCTCCATCATGAGCCTACCCAGGCCATGATGTGCAGCTGAAACCCCAACCTTCTGCACTCAGCTGCCCCATTCCTCCCCAAGGCTGAGCTGTTGGTGGGGCCAACATCTTGCTCCAGGTTCCCCTGTTTATCATGTCCAAGTCCCCGAGGAGGTGGAGCTGGTGTGGTTCAGGGCACTCATCAGGTGCTCAGGTGATCCCAAGTGCCGCTGGCTGCGTCTGGGCATGTGGGATAGCATGAGCCTGGAATTAAATGACTTGGTCCAGTTGCTTTTATTAAGGCTCACATTAATAGAAAGAAAACACAGCATGCTTCACTCCATCCAGGAATAGCTGTTCCATAAAAGCCATCCAAGTGAAGAAAGCCAATTTTAACCTTTTCTCTGCATCACCCCCAGCCCTGGCTGCGCTGCAGGAGCACACAGGTTGGGAAGTGCACTGAGAATTAATCACTTGCCAAGGGCCAAGGAGCAGCCCTGCTGCTTGGGGAGCAGCTCAGCTGCACCCATAGCTGTTTGTGTTTCTTTAGGAGGGCTGCAGAGGGACAGCAGTGAAACACAGCACAGGATGGGGAGCTCCCACATCACATAAGGTTACAGGGACTGGGGATGGCCACAGCCCAGTGACCATCACACAGTAGCCAAAGGGATTCTATATTTTTCCTTTCTGGAATAAAGAGTGTGAAAGCAAGTACCTTGCTGTTGTTTGTCCATTAAAGTGTGCAAGTCTGGTTCGAATGTGTTTGCCATCCATCCCCCTCCGCTCGCAGCTCTCCTGGGCTGCCATGGTTACCTCGGCAGGACTGACCCAGCCTGAAGAAATGCTATTTATTTTTGTTTCTCTGTGCAGAATGAACCAGCACTTGGTTTTGCTGCTTTAATTACGATCTTCTCATTAAAGACTTTCCCTCTTCCTTCCCCTCCTCCCCCCATGTTTGTTTTTCAAGCAGGCACAAGTTTTGTGGTTATAAGGAATGACTCCGTTTTCAGCCACTGGACTGGAACAGTAAAGGAGTTTTCCTGCCCAAAATGACAAGAAGAAAAATGTAAAAAGCCTTTGGAAAACCATTAGCTACCAGATGACCTGATGGAATATCGGCAGGGCTGTTACTGGCAGGAGTCAAAGCTTTGCACCTCAAATAAGGATTTTTGTGTAACAGCCCAATCAAATCAGTTGCCTTTCAACCGTGAACCAGGCTAAAAACTAACTGTTGAGACTGAGTACAGGCTAGCCCTGTTAATGATCACAGAAGCCCACTCCCAGTTCCTGAATCACCTTCTAACCCCTGCACTTTTAATATATCTGCTGCAGCAGCTTTCAGTCTCAAGGTAGCCTGAGAAAGGGGATGGTACCATTTCTATTTCGTGTAAGGGGAGAATGAGGCACTGAGCCAGGACCACATCCAAAAGCATCCATCAGAGGCAGAACTAGACTGCATCTCTATAGTTCTGTCATGTTAGGCAGCTCTGAGAGATTTCCATGGGTTTACCTGGCCCAATTATACACTAGCCACTCCTGTGGAGCAGTGATTGCAGCCAGTAGAGTCTGTCTCACTCTTCACATTTAAATATTTCCTTAATACCTTGAGATCTGTAAAGCCTGGGTCTAACCTGACTTCCTGTATGAGGAGGCTGTGCTGGATGAGTGCTTGAGGAGGTTATTCTCCCCTGATGTGCAAAGCTGGTTGGACTGTGCAACTTCAGCAAAGGCAGCAAATCTCTCTCACCTTCCTGCCCTTCACACACCTGCAGTCAGAGAAACACAGAGCTCCATTAAATCTTTTAAGTCAGTGAATCAGCAGCCCTGTTACTGCAGGGCTCCATG